AGAGCCGGTGTCACCTGTGGGGTGCAGGGTGTGAGGCTGAAGCAACGCGGGGTCCAGGACGAGGGGGTCCCTGCAGTGTCTTGCGACGTGTTCCGGCTAGCCCGCGACTGTGCCCGCCCCTCTGCGCAAGCCGCACCCACTCCGAGGACAGAGGAGGACACGGGGGAGGGACAAGCGGGGTCCAGAGGAAGAGCAGCAAGAGGCAGTAGAGCAGCAGTGGGTTCCCGGCTGCACGGTCCCCAAGTCCTAGTGGCCCGGCCCAAGGGGTGCCTTAGTGAAGGGCCAGATCCACGGCCTCTGCCAGCGTCCACTAGGCAGAAAAACTCCCTCCTCCATTTGAAATAGGCCTGAAACCTCATGTGGGCCAGACCCACCCATCTACTACACTTCTAGCTACCTAATGCACCCAAAGAACAACGTGGAATGACTAAGATCGTGCTGCCAGAGATCTCTGCGGGCTCTTCACCTCCTCCTGGGTCCGGCTCTGCAGGAGCCCCAGCAAGGGTGCTGGCAGCCAGCTGATGGGCAGAGCCTTCCTGCACCTTCCCTGCACCCTGCCTGTACGAGGTAGAAGAGACTTACTGCCTCTGTCCTGGGCGTTCTCCTGTGCCTGGATCCTTCCAGGGCCCCTTCCTGCACATTGCCCTCCCTGCTCCTTTGTTCTGGGCCGGAGTGAATGAGATTCAGGCCGGCCACAGACACCCGTGTGACCCAGCTGACAGACTCAAAGTGAATTCTCCCCAGGGCAACCTGCAAACACAAGCCCTCATGCCCTCTGGATCTCTGTGTCCTAAGGAGAAGCAAAGACTGGTTTGTCAGCAGAGTCTGCAGCTGGAAGCTGGGATCTAGAGGAGGAAGAATTGCTGGAGAGAGCTGGAGAGTGTGAGTCCAGGAGAGCCCTGGAGGAAGCATCAGAGAGAACAGGCGTTAGGGTTGGGGCACCAGTTACATGTGCGTGGACTCAGGGAGGATGTGGGTCCTCTCCTTGGAGCTGTCAGCCATCAGGAAGGAGTCCACTGACTTGCTGCTGAGGTGGAATGGTGCCAGGTGGCGGAAGTTGCTGGGAGACTGGGGGATCTGCACACGAGCCCTCTGGGAGGGCACCACAGTCTCCCCTGGGGACAGCCAGGGTGGCACCCTGTCAAGGATGCTGGGGTCCAGGTCCTCATCCGGGGAGAACACAGGGTTCTCAATTCCTAGGAGAGAGGTCAGTGCTCATCAGCCTCTCGGGAGCCCCAACAGGACAGGGAACATGCTGTCCAGGCCAATGGCAGCTCCTTCTGTGACTACTGCCAGAGGTCACGACCTGCATGGTTGGTCCAGTGCCTTTCAGCCTGCAGCCCTCCACCCCATTCCCTTCCTGCACTTGAACGCAGAGCCCTGGCCTGATGAGCCACCTGCCCTGGGGAAGGTTGAAAGGGTAGAGGAAGCAGCAACCCAGCTGGAGCTCTCTGGGCACCGAGGGCACCCCCATCCCCAGCTTCCCTCACCTGCTGGGGAGTCTGAGGCTGTGTCCTTTGTGACTTTGACGAGAAACTCGATGCCTCCGGTGCTCTCCTCAACTTCATAGTCTGGGGCCTCCTCAGGGTCCGAAAATTCCAAATCTTTGAGTTAGGAAACAAGAGGAGGGCACTGGGCTGGGGCTAGAGTAACCCAGGTCTGTGGCAGCTAGTGTGTGCCCCAAGGGTTGCCATTGTGGCTGTTGTGACACAGGAGTGCCAGGGCAGCCCAGTGGCTAGGGACTGCGGTGGGCTGGGCAGAGGCAGAATCACCCCTGCTGTTCCCCTGGCTCAGCTGTGGGAGGGGGCAGGGGAAAAAGATGGTAGTGGATGCCACTTTGTGGCTGGGCCAGGGAGGATAGGAGGAGAAGGCTTGTCCCTGTGACCCATGCACCACACCCTACCTTTCTCCTTGATGGCGAAGTTATGCACTGGGCTCTCCATGGGCAGCTTCCCATTGGGGATGCTGCTGTTCCTCTGTGGAAAAGTGCAGGCCACCCACATTCAGAACCAGTCCACTCCCGACCCTCTGACCCTGCCTGACTCCGCTCCCTGTGCTCTGCCCATGCAGCCCCCTTACCCGCTTCTGTGCACGCTCCCTCTTGTACAGCTTGGCTGCCTTCTTGTTCTGGTTCATGCCCAGCTTGGCTGACTTAAAGGACTCTAGGCGCTTGCGCATGGTCCTATGGAAGATCTCCTTGTCCTGCTTCTCGGTCTCGTTAGGTGTCAGCTTGTGCCGGCTGTAGAGGTGCTTGTACTGGGAAGGGGTGATGGGGCAGGCTTGTGGTCAAGAGAAGCAGCCCAAACCCCTGTGTCCGAAGGAGAGGAGGACCCCACCAGAGCCAGCCTCCTGCCTTGGCTTGTCACAGGTACAACCCTGAGCCCACCTCCTGCCTTGGCTTGTACAGGTACTGCTGCAGTGTATGGTGGGTGACCATGTCCTCTGTGTCTCGGATGCTCCTTCGCCGCTGCTCCAGGGACTGCATGTCCAGGCAGACAGCACTCACATTCTCCCTCCTGCACAAACAGATGCTGAGCCAGGAACTGGAGGGTTGCTGCTGCCCCTTACCCACTAACCAGGCCTGGACCCTTGGACTCCTGGGCCCCTGGAGGCCTGGAGCTCTGGCCAGCAGCTCCTCTCCATGAAGTTTTACTTGACTGGCCCCACCTCCTGTTTAAGGTGTCCCACAGTCACCCTCCAAAGTGCCACCTGAGACATCAGCAGCACCTGCCCACTGCTCTCCCCAGCCCCGGACCCGCACCAGCGATTGGCCAGAGTTGGCCATCAGCTGCCAGACAAACAAATGGAAATGCAGGAACTGCCTTGGTAGCTTATTGTGGTCCAGGACTTCAGTCTGCTGGCCATGACACATACTCAGGCCACAGGCCCCTGCATCTGCTGGCCCTACTCCATCCCTCCCTGCATCTGCCTCACAAGAACACAACCTTGCTGCCTGTTCCAAAAGGTTCATCTGTATGGTGCCAACACCTCCCCTCTTTCTGGACCCCTTTTCCACCCTATGCCACCCCCAGCATCCAGGCCAAGAAGCCCATTTAGGGCCTGAGGGAGCAGGTGGTCAGGGCACAAGAGAAAGGGGTATGGGCAAGGGATGGCACGCACGTACAGTAGATAAGAGACCGAAGCCTCCACAGTAGATGGCCGTGGTGTGCTGAAGTCCACATTGACCATGTTGTCAGTGCTCGGGGAGCGAATGAAGGCCAGGGACCCACGGCGCTCTCCCTACAAGAAATGTCTGGTTGGCCAACAAGGAGGACTGGTAGGCAGCACCTCTGACTGGAAGGCCAGGCCTGGTCCCAGTGTTCAGGGACCCATGGATTCCAGGAGACAGAGATGGAGCCCAGGGAAGGCAAGTTCACCCGGTCCAGTATTCACTCCAGTCAAGGCAGACCACAGCACCCAAAGGACAACCTCCTGGAGACCCTTGGGGGTGTGGCAAAGCATGATCCACACCTGAGGATTAGGAAGGACAGTGGCCTCATCCCCAGCAGGTCTCAAACCCCCAGGCCTCAAGCCCAGAAGGGACTTGGGTCAAAACATCGCATAGTGGTTGGGTCACCTACCCCCAACCCCACTCGGGCAGAGGGAGCAGAGCCCAAGGCCATGGTCATGAATCCGGATTGTTCTGGCCCATCAGGCAGAGTCTCAGGGCCCTGCTGGTGTCCCAGTCACCTGTATGCAGGTGAGGACCACCCCAGATACAGGAAGCAGCAAGCACAGGCCACCAGAAGCCCTTTCCTATCCCTGTGCAGGCTTCTGGGTCTTGGAAGGCTGGGTTTGTCTCTGTGAATTCTGCCCCAGAGGAGGCCTGGCAGGTGCTCTGCACCACGACTGCTGTGCACCCGGGAAGTCTGGACCTAAGCCTGAGCTCGGCATCAGAACTACACGGCCCAGGGGACATGGACATGTCTCATGGGGGGGGGTCACATGTATGCAATGGAGGGTGGCCTGGCTTCTCATCCTCTGTGTGCTGGGGGCGGGGGGGATGGCTGGGACCTTCAGTGACCTGCAAGTCATGAATGACTGTGTTCCATCCCACACATCCTGAGCCCTGAGGGCAAGCTAGGATGGGCAGGTGAAGTGCTTATGGCATTAGACCCTGGGTGCTGGTGCAGAGCCAGTGCCCTGATTCCCAAGAGAGGAACAGACAGAACATTCGTGTACCTCAGCCACATAGCTAATGGCATCCTTGAGGTTCAGCTCGTGGAAAACATTCAGAATCCGATCTCGAGACTTTTGGGCTGACCTTCTCATGAGGATTTTGCTGAGGACCTTCCTGTCAAAATTGCTCCACCTGGGGACAAATGGTCACTCTGTTAGCACTCATGGCCTGAGGCTCCTGCCCCACACAGGCAGAGCCCTGTGCATAGAATTGAGTGGACAAAGATCTCTGGAGCTGCACCCAGCACAGACTGTCCTATTTGTCCTGGGTTTCCTGGCCTGAGACCCCTGCCGGTGCCTTTGGCCACACCGTCCCACCGCTCTGCTGCCATTTGATGGTGGTGTCAATAGAATGTGAAGGAAACCATTATCTCATGTGACTTCATGGGGTTTCCAAGGACCACATAAGCCTCAGAGGGTGGCCTGAGGACAGGGCTGGGGTTGGAGACTGTTTGCCCTGTCCCACTCTGAGACAGCGTGCCTGGGCTTCGCACTAACTTTGCTGCTTCTGGTGGAATATGGATGGTTATCTCACACAACAGGGCCTCTGTGTGTGACTCTCAATCCTTATTGGAGTTACACAATTTTAAGTGTCAAGTGTATTTTATAATAAAATAGAAATAGATGATTTCATGGACAAAATAATCTTAAATGCTGATGGATGCTAACACACTCTTCCTTGTATTCATAGAATGGGGGAAATTATTTTCCTGATTTTCAGTTCCCACATAATTTAGCAATTGGGAGTTACACAGCCATAGTGTAAGGGCATCGCTTTCCACCTGGAACAAGATCTGTGTCCTTGGTGTGCCCACAGCACCAGCACCATCTGCGGGTGTCAGCTTCTTCATCTGTGTGCACCTGCAGGTCTGGGGCACACCAACCCTGTCCAGCTGACCCCCAAGTGGCAGGACCAGTCCAGAAGCCAGGCAGCTCACGTGGTAGCCCTGGCCCAGTTGAATGAGGGTCCTCCGGAAGTTGGTCATGAGGGCCTTGGGTCATAGTGACGCTCTACATGACCCTGTCTAGGCCCTGTGTCCCTTAGCTCTATGATCCAGGGTCACCAATTGAAAAAGCAGGCAACCAACAGCTGAGACCAATGTGCATCTCAAGCTGTACCCATTCTGGTCTAGGATTTGTCCAGACGGCTCAGGCCACTTACTTATCTCTGAGATAATTGTGTCCGATTTGTCCTGAGATGTCCTCTATGGCTGAGAGGATGTGATCGAAAGCCTGTTAGAGAAGAGGGATGTCCAGAGGGTCACAGGACAGCTCAGCCTCCCCGACAACAGGGGACACATAGGGGACATGCAGGTGACACGTGGCGCCCCTCCCTCCCTCCGCTATGTCCCCACTCTACCCGGCCGTGCAGCTTCTCATTGAGTTTGGGCTCCCTCTGCTCACTGCGCTTCACCTTCAGCCACTGGACCAGGGGCTTGATGGTCAGGCCCTGGGAGACAGATGGACGGCCCGCTGACCCATGGCCAGGCAGAGCCCCACCCAGCCCCCAGGGCCACCAGCGAGGGCCCCTGGAGCGGAGTGACAGCAGGAAATGTTAACCAGGCCACTTTGTATCCACTGCCCAGAAACAATTCTCAGGACAACTGGGCCGCGTCCCCTGTGGGACCACATGAAAACCTACAAAACCTTCCTAGTTACTAAAATTACAAAATCCAGTTCAGGTCTGAAGCCTGGAAACTCTGGTCCCACTGGGCTGGAGGCAGGGTTGGAGCCAGCGCAGAGCCTAGCAGCCAAGGTGTACCTGGAAGATGACTGTGAAGAAAACGACAATCAGCGTGGTGCTGACAAACAGGTTCTTCTCCTTGACCTTCTTCTTGTCCAGAAGCACAACCAGGGCATAGGCTACAGCCCCTCGCAGGCCACCATAGGACATCACTACCTGGTCGATGGTCTCCAGCTGCACCATTCGGTACCGGTTCAGGATCCAGGTTTGTAGGATGACACCTGCAGTGGGAAAGGAGGCTCAGCTCTGCTGCCCCTACCTTTGGATAACTCCAGTGCCTGCAGCCACATGCCCTGCAGGGCCTCTGTCCTCTGAGCCTGGAAGCCTGGATGCTCATCAGGGTTGGTGGCCAGGTTGGTCTTTGGGGCATTGCCCCGGGCCCTGCTCCCATGATCCCTCAATGACCCAGTCCTCACCGATGGCCCGGTACACTGAGATGAAGAGCAGTGTGAGCAGCACAAAGGCCGTGTTCCAGGTCCAGATGAGGGGGTCCACGGCGGAGATGCCCAGGAACATGAAGATGATGGTCTCTGCCGCACTGGCCAGCATCTTCATGGTGTAGCGCACTGTGGTGGCTGACTGCTCTGAGATATTGGCCTTCACATACTTCTGACAGCAGATGCCACAAAAGGTGATTCTGGGGATGGGTGGGAGGCTATGAGGCTGCCGTTCAGTGGGCAGGCACTCGTGACTGGACCCTTTCGAAGGCCCAGCCCTGGCCATCTCTCAGCCTGGCGAGGTCGCAGGGCTCTGTGTCCTGCTGGTCAGGCCTGCACTGTTGGACTGGGCTTCTCCTGGCCTGGGGCCCTGAGCTCGGTACTCTCTGCTGCCCTCTGCCCACTGCCTGGGGCTGGGCACCCAGAATCATAGCAACTGTTCCTCAAGCGGTAGCCTCTGCAGCTGTTCATGGCCCCAACAGGCCATTGGTATCTTCAGAGCCATGCCATCCTTGAGGGAGCCCTGTCCGAGCAAAGGGCTGTGTGCCTGAGTGGAACGGCCCAGAGCCACCCCCAGCAAGCTCTGTAGCTGCAGCTGATTCTGCAGGAACACTCAGTCCTTATTTAAAATTAAATAAATAAAATTCCTCAACCCACACAATAAATTTCCACACAGCTTGGGGACTAGGAAGCTGGAATGTTTGCCCTAAAGGTCACACTCAAGAAGGGCAGTGCAGACCCACCCCCTGCCCTCTGCCATGGCAGCTGGTTATGAACAGCTGGGCATAAACTGTGCCCACACTGGCTTTCTGTGTGGTGCCCCAGAGTCTCTGGCCTCTGCCCAGCTGCCTGCGGGGCTACTGCGTGAGCTCTGGGCTCCATGCACACCCAGGGACTTACGCTAGGATGGCTGACAGGGACAGCATCTCAGACGTGAGGTAGGACAGGTAGGAGATGATGAAGACGAAGCCAGGCTCGATGATGCGCACGTGCTTGGTGAAGCGGGTCACCAGGGACAGCAGGAAGGCGAAGACCACCCCCACCAGTGTGCCCCCCAGGCTCACTACAAAGAAGGACACTGGGAGGGACAGGGTGCAGCTGAGGTGCTTGAATGGTGCTTTGTGCAGGGCGTGGGCTGCCCTTGTGGGCCTTTCCTCATGGGAGTTGCCTAGCAACCACCCTGAGAGGTCCAAGTGCTCAGGAACTCGCCTGTCCCTGCTCTCTGGGGAGAGAGTCCCATCTTGGAACCAGCCCCAGGGAAGAAAGGGATAGATGATGGCACCTTGGCCCCTGGGAACCCCAGACTCCATTTAGGAAACATCACTCAGACCCAGCCCTGTGGCCTGGGTTGGCAAGGACCATGCCCTGTGTTGGCCAACACTGTCCATCTGTCCCTTCCTGGAGCCCCAGCATGACTGTTGTCCCAGGGAGCCACCAGAACCTCTCAAGACCCACGTTGTGTTTGAGGTGTCTGGGAAAGGGGCATGCACAGGGCTCAGTTCTGCAACTGTAATGGTTTGATCCAAATTGTTGCCCATGTTCTGTGTGTTTGCAGGTGAGGTGTTTGGAAGGTAATTGAACCACAGGGAGCTAACCTCATCTACTGATTAACCCATCAATGGGTTCATAGCTGGAGGGCTGTGAGGGGAGGAGCCTGGGTGGAAGGTAGTCACGGGGTGTGACTTGTGGGGTATCTTGTCCCCAGCTCCCCATCCCTTGTCTTCCTGGGATCCTTTTCTCTCCTCCCCTTCCCTCCATCCCTGTCTGTTTCCTGGCTGCCATGACATGAGCAGCTGTCCTTCGCCAGGCCCTTTCACTATGCTGTTTCTCCTTGCGATCAGCCCACCATGGACTGAAACCAGGAGCCCAATAGACCTCCTCTTCTCAGTTGTATTGTCCCTTGATAACAGAAAGCTGGCCAGCACAGCAGTGTAGTGGAAACACCTTTTCCTGCTGGGGCTGTGGGTCGCAGAGTGGCAGAGGAAAGGCCTGAGGGTGGGCAGGCAGGGCCTGACAGCTACATACCTATGCCCTTCACGCAGTCCACACCTGTCACCTTGTCACCACCCAGTGTCACAAAAGACTCAAACACACTGCATAGGACCTGAGGGACAGAAGACATAATACATCTAGTCAGCCTGAACTCACAGCTGGCCCTTCCTCATCCCAGAGCCCAGCATCAAGGACTTGGACCATGTGTGGAGTTGCAGCAGCACAGACCTTGGAAGGCTGTCAGTAGGAGGAAGGTAGATGAGCAACAAAGTGGCTAAATGGGTGAGAGAATGTTCTGGAAATGCCTACTGGGCACAGGAGCTACTGGCTGAGTTTCTGAGGTCTCGGTGGGTTACCAGCTGCCCCTGAGAGCCAGGAATGCATTGAGGGCCTTGCACTGTCCCGTCCTGACCTGAAGGGATTCAGGAAACAGGTGCTCAGGAGCCTGGTCACTGTGAGCAATCACTCATCCCCAGGGTCTGTGTCCACTGTCTGCAAAGTCCCTCCACATCCCCAATCATCCACTCTCTCCTTCCATGAGGACAACCTGGGGACATGAGTGAGACATCACAGCTGTGAAGAGCAGCAGCTGCTCCTCACGTTTATGACCCTGAGGCTCACGACACAGAACACCCACTGCCTGAGGACCTGCCCCTGGGGAAACAGCCCACAGGAATGGCAGCTTTGGCTTCCTCGACTCGTTTGAGGGGCTGAATGTGCCCCCCTAAATTCACTTTTGAGTCCTTACCCTATGTTCTCAAAATATACCTGTGTGTGACAATGGAGCCCCTGAAGACATGACCGAGGTAAAAGGGCCACCCAGGTGGGCCTAACCCAATCTGAGTGGGGTGCTCCTGAAGAGAGGAGGTGAAGTCACAGACACACATGACACACATGGAGGTATATCCCTGTGAGGACACGGGGAGTAGATGGTGTCCACATGTGTAGGACAGACGTGGAAGAGCCAGCCCCACACCCTGACCTCAGACTCCAGCCTCCAGGACAGAGAAATGAGCCTCTGTTTTAAGCCCTGGCAGCCCAAGAAGACAATACAATCCCTATGAGATTTTGCTGTTTATTCATCTAGTTTCCTGACATCAGGAAGGGGCAGCACCAAGTGTGAGTCACCACTGACATCCCTTGCTGTGGGGACTGTGACTGTGGGGTAGCAGCCAGGTAGCCTGACCTGACGCTTGGATGGAGGGTCCACAGTGGTGAGAAAATGAAGGAAAGGGAAGGCTTGGTGCATCAGAGCTCTGCTTTAGGTAAGAGCACAGGCCAGGCCGCCCGTGTGCCTACACACAGTGTGTACACACCTCCAGTGAGAGGATCAGCCAAGCACCTGCCCCAAGGGGGCATGCTGGGCTGCTGCACAGCTCAACAGGGGCCACCTGTACACAGCAGATCCCTCGGGCTTGCTTTCTGAACCCAGGGACGTGAGTGACTCTCACTGGGCCCCAGGTCCCTGGCCTCCCCATACCCATAACTGAAACACTGTCTCAGCCTTGGGGACCTGCCTGTTGCTCACCACGGTCACAGCGTCGTTCAATAGTGACTCCCCAAAGACAATGATGAACAGGACCTCATTGACGTGGACTTCCTCAAATACTGCCAGGACAGCCACTGGGTCCACCGCTGCGATGAGGCTGCCGAACAGCAGGAAGTCCAGGAGCCCGGACTGCAGGTCGCCTGCAAAACAAGCCAGCCATGAGTGAGAGCCCAGCATGGGCCCTGCCTGGAACGAAAGCAGGCAGGTTAGGAGGTCCCCAGCCTCTGCCCCAGAACTCACAGCCCTGGTAAAAAGTGGGAGACACCTGTGCGGTCAGTCTGTGGGCTGGTGATGAGGCTGGGGACCCTCAGGGACAACAGAGAGAGCCCATGGCTGAACACCTCCAGGATGCGAAGGCAGCTGGGTCCTCACAAGGGCTTTGCTCTCCCTCCTGGGCTGGCCAGAATGGCCCTCCCCTGGGACAAAGGAGCAAAGCTGGCTGGGAGGTTAGTGCCCTGCCTGAAGGCATGGAGGGCAGGGGACCTTGAGATTCCTGTGAACCCCAAAGCCCAGAAGCCACCAGCCTGTGTCATGGTGTTCTAGAGTTACCTGCTGCTACACAGCCCTACTGGCCTTCCAGACACAGACACACTCAAGGCCATGTGTGAAGTATCCATGGCTCGGGCAACCTGTTGCTCCAGGACCCTGCCAGACTCTGTAGCACATCCTAGAAACTACCTGCTTCCCACTGGAGTGCAGTCAGCCCTGTGTGGACAAATGGTCCATCCACCTGGCCCTGCCAGGAGCGCTTGGCCCAGTGGGAAGCAGGCCAGGTTCTGTGCTCCGCTCTCTACTGCAGGCTAGGAGTCCAGTAGCTAGGCCCACCATGGGAGCCTCTGCGCTGCCCAAGCTGACCCTTCCCAGATAGGAGTGGTGGGTGCGGCAGGTATGGCAGGTATACCAGGCCTTGACCACTATCTGCAGACACAGGCTGGCACTTCTGGGCTTTGGGGTTCACAGGGATCTCAAGGTCCCCTGCCCTCCCTGCCTTCAGGCAGGGCACTAACCTCCCAGCCAGCTGCTCCTTTGTCCAGAAGCCACCAGCCTGTGTCATGGTGTTCTAGAGTTACCTGCTGCTACACAGCCCTACTGGCCTTCCAGACACAGACACACTCAAGGCCATGTGTGAAGTATCCATGGCTCGGGCAACCTGTTGCTCCAGGACCCTGCCAGACTCTGTAGCACATCCTAGAAACTACCTGCTTCCCACTGGAGTGCAGTCAGCCCTGTGTGGACAAATGGTCCATCCACCTGGCCCTGCCAGGAGCGCTTGGCCCAGTGGGAAGCAGGCCAGGTTCTGTGCTCCGCTCTCTACTGCAGGCTAGGAGTCCAGTAGCTAGGCCCACCATGGGAGCCTCTGCGCTGCCCAAGCTGACCCTTCCCAGATAGGAGTGGTGGGTGCGGCAGGTATGGCAGGTATACCAGGCCTTGACCACTATCTGCAGACACAGGCTGGCACTTCTGGGCTTTGGGGTTCACAGGAATCTCAAGGTCCCCTGCCCTCCATGCCTTCAGGCAGGGCACTAACCTCCCAGCCAGCTTTGCTCCTTTGTCCCAGGGGAGGGCCATTCTGGCCAGCCCAGGAGGGAGAGCAAAGCCCTTGTGAGGACCCAGCTGCCTTCGCATCCTGGAGGTGTTCAGCCTGTCCATCTCTATCACCTTCCAGAGGAGACAGCCAATGTCCAGCTTTGGCTGTATCCCAGGGGCTGAGCAGGCCACCCATACCTGTGTCCACCATCAGAAGCAGCCCTGCCTCTCCTGTGTGACCTGCACAATAGTGACACTTGTCCTGCAGCACACTGTGGCAGGACACACTGTGGAGCTTACAAAATAGATGTGTTTGCCATTGTTTGGCTGCTTGCAACTTAGCACCTGTGCCTTTTATCATGAGGACATTGGTTTCCTAAAAGCCAGGCATAAGGTCTGCCAGGCAGGATGCGGAGCCCCATAGATGTGTTTAGCTGTGAGAGACTGGCACTGGGGACACAGGTGTGCTGGCTGGCCCCTTCAGGCTTCTCTGTTCTCAACATGACCTGGGCTGCCACAGCCAGCACCTAGCAGTGTTGTCTGTCAGGTGAGGGAAAGTGTGACCTGCTCAGGGCTGTGGGCATCGGTCCAAGAGTCCTTGAGCTACCCCCTGAGGCATGCACCATCGTGGGTGTCCTGTGATCAGGGACTCACACACCACATGCCCACCAGGCTTACTCCCTGGTGGTCTCTGGGGGATCTGAACAGCAGGGACACTTGAGGAAGTACCTGGTAAGGGGACACAGCCCCGAAGGACAGATGTGCTCAGAGTGACTATGCACCCCTGCCCACGGTCCCCTCCAAGCCATTTCCCACACTGACCAAACCTCAGGATACAACATGGAGCCTGGGGGCACTGGGCCCCCACACTCTCCTCAGCCCTCCCCACCTGCACAGTACACTGGCCTCCCTGTGGGACTCACCCATCAGGCCACTGCGGAAGACACCATAAAGCGACAGGCCCGTGGTGGCCGCATTCCACACGGTGCCGATGACTGCATACAGGAGGATGGTGCCCAGGTTGCCGAAGAAGAGCCGGTTGGGCATGAAGTAGCCAGCGTCCAGCACGATGGGGGGCAGCAGGTAGTAGAAGAAGACCGTGGGCGTCAGCGTGAAGGAGGCGATGTGGTCAGCCGCCCAGACGATGCCCCCTAGCACCAGGCCCAGCATGATGAGCAGCACACTCTCAGGCACGATGCTGGTGACCTTGTGGGACAGGTGGAACACTGCGGGCAGGGAGGAGGGTCAGGGGTGTGTGGAGAGGGGAGGGACCCCAAGGGGGATGGTGGTGAGGCTGGGCCCCCGGTCCCCCCCAGGGCAGCACCCACAGGAGCAGGCCCAGGTCTTCATTCCAGGCCCCTGAGTTACCAGTGAAGCCTGGCTCTGCCTCCCACTCAGGCAGCCCAAAGGGCATGGAGGTGATGATGCCCACCCGAAGCTGGCACACAAAGATAGGGGCCCACAGGCCAGTGCCCCCACCTCCTAGGGAATGCAGAGGGAGGGGCCCTCAGCTGGGGAGGGGCTGCACCATGACTCCAGGACGTCCAGCCCAACCTGGTTTTCTAGACCCACAGCTATCCGTTCTGCACCTGGGGCCACGGCTGCTCCACTGTGACCCCTTGTGGGAGCTGTGGTTGTCCCCTCCCCTGGGGTCACAGTCCCCTACCTGGCTCACAGCCCCCAGAGCAGGCCTTGAGGAAGGGTCTCCAAGTGTCTTCACAGGCACCACTCAGTCTCACATTTAAGCTTGCAGGGCTGCCCACAGCCAGCCCTGCTTGAGTCACATCCCTCTCTTTCATCTGACATGGAAAACAAGCCACCAGGATTCCTGTCTTTAGCAGGATTTCAAAACAGCTGGGGCAGTGACACTTGAGGTGACTCCCCAGTGTAAGCAGTGTATGGCATAGTGCCTGTCAGCACTGAAATCTCACTATCGATGTGACTTTTTGAGTCTAAAAGGTAAGTCTGAGACACTGATACCCAGAGCAGTAGGAGGAGCCTAGCGACCCCATCTGTGGGTGAGGAGGGACAAGGTGGGGAGCAGGAAGCTCACAGGTGTGTCCCAGAATTGTAGACAGCTAAGTTAGGGGAAATAGTATGGGCAGTCAGACAGGGCTAAGCCCTTGAGGGAGTGCGGAAAGTGAGAATACATCACAACTGTGGCAGGAGGCACATCCATTGGAGGTGGTGTGAGCAGGCCTACCTGCCATCCTAAGGAATAAGCAATAAATTATAGATTATACTATAATCGGTATCACCTGGTCCGATAGACTAGATGACATCAGTCACCCAGCTGGGTGATCAAGACCTCCTGATCGATCTCTTCTTAAAAAGGTCCTTGTTCCTTCCGTATACACGTGCTATGTGACCTGCTTCTCCAGTTGGTTCAATATTACCTAAGTGGCTGTACTTACCATCTTCTTGGTTAATCGCGGTTTTGTCCTGCATCGTACCCACTGCACAATTGTGCTCTATAAAACTTCTGAGACGTGAGTTTTGTAGCAGCTCACTTTCAGTTCCCCTCCTGTCTTTCTGAATAAATTTTTCTCCTCTTAACCTCTGTTGTTCCATAAAATTCATTCTTTAATTGTGGGGAACACAAACTCATAGCTGACAGCTAGCAGGATGAGCGTGGCGTTTCCCCCCTAAATCACCCAAACCCACCTGTCCTCACCAGCCAGCCTGGACCAGGCTTCCAGACCTGCTTCTCCACTGTCATTAGCGGGTGACTGCTGGGCCTGGATGGATGCCTGGGAAGGGCACCCTCACTCGGGGAGGTCCCCTGGCAGCTGCTGGCTACACACAACACCGCATCAAATGCCGGGGCCGTCCTCCTGCCTGTGAGAAGCGTGGCGCTGGGGAATCTATGGCTACGTCGCCACAGCCTTTGGCTCTGTCACCAGGGCAAGGCTCAGCCTGTCATGCTCTGGATCACTGGCCTATGGTCCTCACTCCAGATTTGGAAACTGGCGGCAGAGGCAGAGGGGCCCCCACAGCAATGCCCTGTACTGGCTGCCCTTCCTGCAGCAACTGAAGTTGTTTCCCCACTCAGTTTGAACATTTGGATAACAACTGCCAAAGCACACTGGGCACGTGGGAGGAATGTGTCACAGATGGTCACCGCCTGGAATGAGGGAGGCAGCAGTGATCACAGAGGGCCAGTTCCCTGGAATCCCGGGGGTCCTGCCTGCGGCTGACAGGAAAGAGGCTACCTTCCGTGAGAGGAAGCTCCACCCTGGGCCCCAAGTGCTGCTCCCTGGACAGGCAGCTAAGAGCTCACAGGCTTAGGCAGCGCCCAGCCCAAAAGTCTGCATTCGGGACTCCAAGACCCGGAATCGTGGTGTAGACCCTGAACCCAGGGCAGCGCGGCTGGGGAGGTCAGGGGACACACTCCCTGCTCCAAGCCTCCTGATTCCTTATCAGGTTCAGAGATGACCCAATGGTGCTGTGCTCTGTTCTTCCCACACCGTGACTCTGGGTTCAGAACAGCTGAGGCTCTGTCCCAAGTCATCACTCTTCCACAGCTCCTGCAAGCCCCAGGGTGGGGTGGCTCCTTTCTCTGGGACAGAGGATTCACGAGCTAGACTGTCCCTAATCCCCAGAGCCCTAGAGCCAGACCATGTCCCTGACCTCCTCCATGACCCTTTGTCTGCCTTTCTTCATGCCTGGGCTGGCAGGGATGGCTTACACTTGTGACAGCTGGGTCTCTGCCCTGACCCTCCTTCAGGGTCCTATGGTCAGGGAAGCCTGCTCTCAATACCATGAGTTAGACAGCAGAAGGAATAGAGAGACCTCTGTGCTCCAGCCTTGACCCCTCTGGGAAGTGGCCACACAGATGTCTATGCAGGACTCGGGTCTTTGCTTCAACCCCTTCCAGGATTGGGGATTTGCAGAGGTGGCACCTTTGTGATGTTCAGGGAGGCTGTGGAGCTGGGCTCATCTCAAAGCAGTAGCACAACACTGCCTTTTGGGAGCTCCAGGACACATGATGCTACTGGTTTGTCCTTGTCGTGTTCTGTGTGGCAGCTGATGCCTGTAGGTTGTCAACCATCGGGAGCTCAGGTGGATGGAGGGTAGGCTGGCTCCCCACCAAACACATTTGCTCAGAAGTAGGCCCTGAAAACCCGCAGGAAAAATAATCGGTTCTTTGGATTCCCCAAGAAGAGCAGGTGTCCGAATGCAGTGAGACAGGAGTGTGCAGTACTTGCAGCCCTTTGCATCCTATCTCCCTACCAGCACCAGCATCTCCAGGGATGGAGCTGGCCTCCTGCATCGAGTGAGGTCCGACCATCATCTGTACCTGGGAGGCTGTCTTTACAGCCCTGAGGAGCTGTTTCTTTGTAGACCTTAAAGCTCCTCCATCTTCACTGATACATGGCTCTACCTGGGCTGAGACCTCTGCCCTACCTGATGACTGTTCCTCTGCCCCACACCTGAGGGTGGCAGTACAGGGGGGGTTCCCTGGCTCTCCACCTGTCAGGCCTGTATGTATGTGTCCATTTCTCTAAGTCCTCCGACCAGGGTCAGGCTGTTTTGGGTATACCAAGACGTTGGCCTCTCTGCTCTGGAGCCGCAAATGCCACCTCTGTCCTTGACTACAGGCCCCATCCCACCCTGTGAAAATGGGCCTGATGCCACGTCTGGGCCAGGCTGGTCCTGTGTGGCCTGCACCCAGGAGCTACAGGAAGGGGTCTGCCCGTCCGGTTCTTTCTCTTCCACAGCAGTGCTGTTTCTTTGTTTCTGTCTGAGTGTCGGGCATAGCTTCTTAACCCAGGATGGCCAAGTCGCAAGCATGGAGCTCCACATGGTCATGCCCTTTCAGCTGAGACTTTGTTCTTTCCCCCCTTCCAGAAACATCCTGGAGCTCTGGACACAGAGCTGTCCCTATGTACATCTCTCCTCAAGAGCCTCATCCTCTCAACCTTTTCTCCCAAGCCTCTGCTGCGATGGTGTGAGCTCTCACCACCTGGTTCTGAGCCAGGGTGGGTCTTGCTGCTGGTGTGCTCGGGACACCCCTGGCCTGGGCGGCCTGGTCCCATGACTGCCTCTCAGGCACAGTTCGAATTGTAATTAGATACTTAGATGAATGGCTCAGTGATGTTAAGTGGCCATCTGCTAATAGCTCAGCGATGGAGGAATAGTGGCATTTCAGGAGTCAGAGCCCGCTTCTGCCACTGGCCTGCAGCTGGGCACAGAGCCTGATGGGTGGGGCAGCCACAGGCACAGGGCTGGTTCTGCCTTGCTGCAGTCCAGCATTTGGGTCATGGGTCAAGGGTTGCAGGTTGCTAGGCACATCAGGCCTCCACCCCTCCTGTACCCTCCGTCCATGGCACAGATGGATGACATTCTCTCCACAGAGAACTGGTCACTGCTATTTCCAGTCACGTGGACCTTCGGTGTGCCTCCAACTGTCCCAGTCAGCACACAGAGCCCCATCGTGTTGCTAGGCCCTGTCTTGGGGCCATGAATGGCCAGCTAGTGTGAGCGCAGGGAGGACCTGCTGCCTCAGCCCACAGCCTACAGGGCCCAGCTACTAGGCTGTCCATGCTCCAGTTCTCAGTCCACTGAGGTCACTGGGGAAAGTCAAACCTGTAGGCTGGGTTAGATGCCGGGCCTGGAGGGGCCCCCAAGGCTGTGGGTGAAGGCGGGTCCCTGAGGAGGGCTGAAAGGGGTACACTCTAAGGAGGCTGGGCCTCGAGGGGACCCGTCTCTATTGTTTTCTTTTGTCCCATGGCCATGAGAGGACCAGCTTGCTCCACCACACTTGTACCGTGCTGTGCCAGCACAGCCCAGAGAGGCAGAGCCAGCAGTCAGGGGCTAGAATCTCCAGGCCAATTGAGCCAGTTAACCTTCGCTCATGCTGAGTGATTGTCTCAGGTGCTCTGCAGCAACAGAGGCAGCTGCTAACATGACCTGGGAAAAACCAGCCACAGTGGCCATGGCAGGGAAGGTCTTTCAGAGGACAGAAGGAATCACTGAGGAACCAGGAATGATGAGGCCAAGAGCAGTGAGGGACAGCAGGATGGGAGGATGGATACCCAAACCCAGGAGTGAGCAGTCTGGGGGCCAAGAGTCACAGACAAGCACAGGATGATGCAGTCACCGGATGGTGACAACAGAGCAGGGTGCTTTAGCTCTAATTACAAGCCATCTGGCTGGAGGCCAGCCAGGGAGCCCACCGAGCTTTGCTGCCCCCGACCTGGTTACCCACTACCAAGGATCTCTC